TTTTTTTTTTTTTTTTTTTTTTTTTTTAAATCATGGCCACAATAAATATCTACAAACCGCTATACATTTCTTTTTAATTCTGTTTCTTAGGTACCTGCTATAGACAAAATGTCTTATCTTGGTTTTATTGAAAACATTGTTGGGCTTTTAACCTCTTTTGTGTAAAGCTGCCCACACACCTTACAATTTATCTGCAGATTTTCTGCGGTCTGATGGTAAAGGTGCAACAGATTCCTCCATCTACACTTAACTGTGTGGATGGAGTAATCACCACCCGGGCCAATCTGTTGCACTTTTTCCATCTGACCACAGAAAATCTGCAGATAATTGTAAGGTGTGTGGGCAGCTTTAGTCTTCCTTTTTATATTTCTTTTTTCTTGTCATAATAACCTGTTTATCTGTAGTAGTTTTAGTAGGAAGTATTTTCTTAGTGATTTCTATAAAGTTATCAGTGATCCAGGTAATGGGATATCAAGTGGTAGTAAATCAAGCACAAATAGACTTGCTGATTATTCTTGACAATGTTTCACCTCTCGTCCAGTGCCTTCTTCATTTCATCTGATAGAAGGGAATTCCCTGGCATTTAAACCTTGATGGATACTGTAATGTCATTTAGAATATAGATATCATGTAGTTTTCAGGTTTCTATCTGGCTCATCCTCTGTGTGCTTGTTTACCATCTACCTTAGTGAAATTGCTCTTGGATATTAACTAGTCACAGAGTAATGAATTGGATTTGAATGTTAAATGCTTTTTAGTCAGTGAAATGGACAAGTGTGAGCAAGCCTTATATCTTGGTGTTATGTAATTAGAAGGGTGAAACTGCAGGGCGTATGGCTGAACACCACCTACTTTAAGCACAAGATAGATTGAAGGAGGCTTGAAGGAAGTGAAGAAGTGAGCCTTGAATACGTTCAAGGGAGCAATACCATGTCACTGATTCAGATATGTCAATGGCACCTTGGTCAGAAGCCACATATTCAAGATAGAAGCGTTCACGGAACATGTCAACTCTGTGAACAATACTACAAGTTTATATAAGAAATTTTTGACAATGTGTAAGACATTGCACTGGCATTGTTTAGTCTGTAATGTGCACCAAAGTAGTGGTAGCTAACAAAAAACTAATGGCAACCAAAATGTAAATTAAATAAAATTACATTTGAATATTTGGTATTTTAAATTTTTTAATTTTTTATGCCTTTAGGGTCTTGAAATAAAATCCACTTCTTCAGGACAGCATTTTGTTGGCCAAACAACACCAGAGGTGAGTCTTAATCACTTAGTACCAACTGTAAACTCATGAATGGAAATGGTTATTGATAACCGTGGTAGAGCTAATTGCTTGGTTAATGCTCGTTTTATAACTAAAATGGCACCTTCTGTTGCCAAAAACTGTATAACATTGGATCTGCCTCTTGTTTACACAGTACTCCCATGCTGATGCAAATTGACTACTGTACATGTTCAGCCAGAGCAGAGCCAACAGTGTGTCCCTAGCAGCACACAGATTAAAGTAGATGTAAACCCAGAATAATTTTAGTTTTCTAAAGCACAGTCCATCTGTTGCTTTTTTTTTTTTTTCCCTTTCATTAAATACTTCTTGTTTTTACCTTTTTTCATAATTTGTTGCCTCTCAGTGCTGCTGATCTCCTACAGCCACGTCCTCTATACATACATGCACTTCAGTGATGGCATATAACATGGTGGGTTTACAGATGGTGACAACAGTGCATTATCCCTCCACACTGTGTGCTGAAATCACCACTTGTAGTTTCCTTCAAAAGCCTATGTTACAGGGTGACAACCCTGAAAACAGCTGGGAGACGGGGACAAAGTAGTGTCACTGCTTAACAAAAAGTTCCTGACCATCATAGCAGAATCACCAGGTATTTTATTAATGAAAACTGCAGGTTTAAAAATATGGACTTGTAATAATATGTATAATGTCCTTTTGATTTACAGTATATGGTATGTATATTTACAATGAAGTGATTAGACAGGACTTCATGTCTACAGAAAAAAAGAATTGGCAAGCAAGCCCTGAGAGCACTCAAAACAAGTATTACCCCTTAGCGTCATTTATAGACCTCATGTGACAAAATCTTAGCATCTGTGTTGCCAGTTGGGTCCATCTAAAGCAGTGATTGTGGTAGGAGTTTGTTCTTCTTCTTTTCATTTAGATTTCATAGAATATAGTGGAATGGAAGAAACATGCGCAGCAGGTGGTGTGACATTTTAAGGTAGAGGAAGCAGAGATCTATGGTCAGGAGATCTTTCTATATTTAATGGATAAAAAACAATTGTGTGGGTTGAGACACCTGATCTGCTTTCTTTATTCCTCAGGTAGTTATGCGTGGGTAAACAGAGGCATAACCAGAAGATATGGGCCTTCTTGCTAAATAATCTATCCATGCAAAGATTTGGATGTTTTGCCCTCTGTGTATTTTATTAAGGCAGTAAAAAGAATGGAGGGTGTAAAAAGTGCAGTTACCCAAGGCAACAAGTCAGATTTTATTTTTTTGCAGTTGGATAAGATGAGAAATCATTATTGATTTTTATTTGATTTTGGTTACTGCACTTTGCACGTGATCTTAGGCCTTTGCTCTAATTCACAGAATGAGCCAGTGTAGAGTAATACCTCAGATGTAGGACATTCACTATTCATGTGCATTTTTCATTTTCAAATTTGTAAACTTATACTAAAGGCGCACAGAGGGACTATCCTACACATGATACCATGCTGTGGTAATAGAAATGCCAATTACATAGATTCAGGAAACACAAAGAATGGTGAGTACATTAAGCAAGAAAGGGATGGTGTGGCTTTAATGAGTTATTGTTACCAAATGTTTAGCATTTGGGGTTTGCAGCTGGGTTCCCAGGTACAGACCAGGAAAAAAGCTGTTTTGCTTCTTAGACCTGTAATCTCCATTCAGCTCTTTGTTTATAGGCAGTGGTTCACTAAACCCTCTACTCTACTGCTGAGTGAGCCAGTAGTTTGTTGTGTTTGCTATAAAGTGGTCACTCTGGAGATATATGAAGCTCTTCTGTTACCTCAGTTCAAAAGCCACAGACTGTAACCACTTATGTACAGTAACCACTCAATTCTGATAAATTACCACTTAATTCACCATCTGGTATGTCTCGCGAACACAAAGTTAGGTCCCCGAACAGCACCGATTATTAAAAGAGATTTATTAATGTACTCCTGTAACCCAAACTCAGCATATAATGGGCTACTGCCCACTATATGCTGACAATGCAGAGGCAAGGACTGGGAAGGATTCTGACAATATTGTCGGAATCCACCCCTCTGCCTGATTGATAGATGGCTTAGCCTCTCTAGAGCGAGAGCTAGCGGTGTCTGAATCCCTGCAGTCAGAAGCTGCAAGCTTGAGCGATCAGCGGTTTGTGAACTCTCAGTTCTTGAGCTATAGAGCTGGCATGTGACAGCTGCTGTGTCACATGACGGCGACTCTAACTTTTGGGACGGCAGCTCTAACATTTTACTCTACCAATAGTCCTCCTTTACGGAGACCCTCCTTCCAGACCATTCATTTCAACAACAGTCTTCCTACAATGTGGATTTAACACATTATAGTCATGTTAAATACCTGTAAAAGCCTCCCTTGTGTAGACATCCAAAAGCCATGAGACTGCTGCTAAAATAATCCCCTTTGTTCCTCCCCTGGCTGCTACATAAAAAGTTTGTAGCAAGATGAAGGAAGGGGTGGGTTTGCTGGGCCAGCACACTGAGTAATTAGGCTCTTCCAAAAGAGGAGAGGGCTGTGCTAGGGAATTGAGTTTTTCTTGAAGTAGCCAAACTAGTTCTAGCTAGTTCATAAAAAATGGTTACTAGAAAGGAAAATAGTTTATGTTCTTTTTACCTGCAATTTTTTAGTTGTTGATAGGGTCTCTCTCTTTAGCATGATTTTGCTTTATGGTGCTGTATGGCTTGTTTCCATTTCGATTGCAGTTGGAGTTGTCCTCTGTGGTGCTTTCTTTTTTGTTCCTCCATGTTGTAAAACTGTCTTTTCATATTTAACTTGTCACTTTCTCCTTTTTTTGTTCAGTCTCCAGCCAGACAGTGTGAACACATTCTTCCAGGAGATGAGATTATTAAAGTGAATGATCAAGTTGTGGTAAGTTAAATAACTAGCGTCTCCTAAATTCAGTTGTAAACGACCCTTGACATGCTACCCCCAATCGAGGTCCCCACCACCAATCTCCCCCACGAGGGCTACTCCCGTTGCACCCACGATTACCACTAATGGATCACGGTGGTCTTCTACCCACAGTTCTGACCCACATGGTTATGGGGTCTGTTAATTGTTGTTTATATGGCACATATTTGAGGCGCAACAATCCGGCGGAAGGTAGCCATATGGTATAGATTTAGTTATTCAGTTTCACTTCATGGAAGTACTTTGCTTGACATGTCTGGATTTCAGTCTGCGCACTGATATGTAGTCTTTGCGGCATAACAATGTTTGATTGTACTGTAATATTTTATTTTTATTATATGTAATAAAAATTTGACATGCTTAAAAAAAATAAAAAATTCAGTTGTAAACAGAACTGGTGGATGGAACAGTTTTGTGTAATGTCCAAAAAGCTAATTTGAAGAGGGAAACTCTGACTCTACCAAGCACTTCACTCTTATAAATTCAGCATATTAATATCTTATGCAGAAGTTTTAAAATTGTTTATTATTTATAGGGCCTCTGCACTTCTAATTTGTGGCCTTGCCATTTGTTCTCTCACCTGCACCCGTGGTATTCACCAAGGTGCTGGCCATCTTGTGCTCTTTTGGCTTCCCTATTATGGGATACTTATTCAACCTCCAACAACAGTCCGCAAAGGGTCTGTAGGACAACATATTCCTGACTGTCCAGACATTACAGAGTTTCAGGTGGATCCTGAGCCTTCAGAAATTTTTGCAGAAACCGATTTATAGCTTGGACTATCTGGATCTGGTCTTGGGCGCATCTCAGGCCAGATGGTTCTTTCTCCAGGGGTAGCTTCAGACTCTCCAGTATCGGGTTTAAACTTTTCAGTCCACAAACTGTCTGACCAATCAGCATTTGCATAAGAGTCTTAGGGCTGATAGTAGCCTCCTTCAAGGCAGTTCCCTTTTGCCCAATTTCACTCCATATCTCTGCACAGTAATATTCATTGTGGGACAAATAGGTCCTGGTGGCTCAGGAATCTGGCTTAGGCTTTGGAGACCTTTCATAATGTCTTTTGTAAGATTCTCATGACTGATAACTGCCTGTCTGGCTTTTGGGGGGGGTGGGGTGGGGGCTTCCTGGGTACCTTGTCGGCTCAGCGGACTGTTGGAGAGACATCTGATTCAGACAATGCTACATCAACCACTAGGGAGGGAACCAGAAGGCTCTCTACAGCAAGAGGTAGAGCTGGTCCTGTCCTGTGGAGAACACGAAGTTCCAGCTATGTCGGCTATGTAGAATCCAGGCATACACACTGGGGGCAGATTTCTTCAAGTGGCAGTGTCTGAACAAGGGAGAGTAGTTTCTACACCTGGAGGAGTGTCAGGACCTGCATCACATGTGGAGGAAGGCCAGATGTGGACCTCATAGCCTCTGGGTTTAAAAACAAATTGGGACAAGTTTGTATCAGGTGGAGGCATCCAATGGGAGAAGCAGTAGATTCTTTCGTGGCTCCTTGGACTCTTCCTCGTCCGCTCTGAAAGTTCAAGAGGGAGAGCATTCAGGTGATTCTCATTGTTCCAGATTGGCCCAGGGAGATTTGGTTTGCTGACCCGGTAAGACTTGCAGCAGATGAACTGTGGGCAGTGCCAGACCATCTGGATCTACTATCCAATTTTCCATTCTGGGTCTCTTGGTCGCTGGTATAATGGCATGGTTGTTTGAGCTCAGGTTCTAAGGGATAGAGGTGTCTCTGAATCTGTGATTTGTTGTGCTTATTTCACTAATGCTGAGGCTTTCACCCCAGGTGTTTCTCAGCCGGATAAATTCTCATCTTCCTGCCTTTGGGTCTGGGCCAGCCTTTGGCTCTTGGCACTATGAAAGGTGAAGTTTCTGCTCTTTCCATTCTGCTTCGTAGACCATTGGCCTCTTGTTTTTTTTAATTAAACATTTGTGCAGGGGTCTCCCATGGCTCCCCCTTCCATTACCGTGTGACTCCTTTAAATCTGAATTTGGTTCTCTCTGTATTTCAAAAGCCATTGTTTGAACCCATTAGACCCTATTCTCTCTTTTCTCACCCACAAGGTTGCTGCTTTTTGTAGCTATCTCTGAGAGGCAAGTGTCTGAACTGGTTGCCTTATGTGGCAAATAATTATTTAGTCTTGCATAGGGACAAAGTGGTGTTGAGGCTCAGGACTTCGTTCTTGCCTATGCTAGTGTCTGCCTTTCACCTTAGCCAGAGCATTGTTCTCCCCTTCCTTTGTCTGGCTCCAGTTCATGGAAAGGAAATTTCTCTGGATGTGGTTAAGTTTGTGTGAGTCCTTCGCTTTGCCACAGCTTCTTTTAGCTAGATCAGTTGTCATTTTGGACACCATCTCTAAGTGGCAATGACAGACCATTGTTCAAGCTTATGGTTGGAAAGATCGGGTCTCCAGCTTCCCTGTTAAGTCTTATTCCACTAGACCTGTGAATGCCTCTTGGGCTTTTGGCATCAGGCAACTGTTTCCCAGATTTGCAAGGCTGTCACCAGGTCTTCTGTTGACGACAGGTTTTTCTAAGTTCTACCATGTGGACGTTTCTAGCTCACCTGATGCCAGCTTTGGGCATAATGTCTTTCAAGCAGCTCTGTTATTTATGTATGGCCTGTACTGCTTTGGGATTCTCAAAAGTTTAAGACTTCCTGTGTCACTCAATAGACGAGAAAGAAAGCTTTTGTACTTGCCGCAAAATCGCTTACTTTGAGTTCCACCTCTGCGTTTATAATTTTCTTGGTTTTGCTTTGATACAAACTGAGCCCAGGTGGTAGTAGGACAGAGTTATACCCTGGACTTGCCTACAGTTTTTTTATTTTCCAGTCCTGTAGGCAGCAGTATAACCGGAAAGTTTAACACCTTTGTCCCTTAACCGATTCCAAGAAAAGGACTTTACAGTACAAAAATCAGATTTTTATGAATGGTGTTCTCAGTATCTTTGACACATACATAATATGTATTTTTTGTAATCCATTGATAACTTTGACAACACTAAAAATTGTAATAAAATGGCTCTTTTTGACCTGATTTTGTGATTTAATAATCTTCATATATTCACCTAGGTTGGCTGGACTCAAAAAAATCTTGTGTGTAAACTCCAGGAGAAAACAAATTGTATGACTCTTATTTTAAAGAAAGTTTCAGTCTCCCCCAAATCTCTTGTGGCTCCAGAGAAAAGAAAAACACATGAAACAAGCTCATCATCGTTGAGTGACCGTTCCACTTCTTCACATGCAAGTCATGTTCCTGCTTCGCCTAATGAGCGTGTACCTGACCTCTTATTGAACGTAAATAATGTACCAGTATCACCATCAAAACACAAAAACCTTTTGACGACACACAGTGCACCGGCTTTCCAAGCAGAGAAGAAATTAATGCACATAAAATCAGGTAGTGACGCTCCACAAAGTCAGGAACAAGCTTCTTCAACTGAAAACTTTTCAGGAGCGAGTCAGAATTGTCCTAGTAAGGTTACTTCCCAGGGGCATCGCACTTGGGCCTGTTCTGGTGCTTCATCAAAGCCCCATGCGTCAGATATTTTTATTTCTGTTCCTCCAACCTCCTCTGAACTACCTGTCCAACCAGAGATGTCTTTTTCAAAAATATATGCAAAAACACTTGCTCCATTGGCACAGTATTCCTCAGAAGAGGAGTCAAAGAATGTAAAGGTTAGTAATTGTATGTCTTTATTTTCTCTTTGCATGTTTCAATCAAGCCTGAGATATCCCTGCATTTTTTTGTTGCCCTGCGATAGCTGTATTGCAGGGGCGCCCACTATTTTTCATCTGGAGATCTACTTTTCAAATGACAAGCTCATTGAGATCTACCAACGAAAAAACACCTGCATTCAGGGGCGGGAGGGGGCATGGGCTGCGCAGGCAGGCCCCTCGCCCACAGTGCGATCGCCTGCATTAGTGCCTGTGTTCCAGTCCAGTGCGATCCGCAAAAATGCTGCAAGCACTATTTTTGCAGATCGCACTGGACCGGAATGCAGGCACTAATGTGCCTGCGTTCCGAGTGCGGGCGATCGCACTGTGGGCGATGCTATTGACTTCAATACAGCTCCACACCCCCTCCCGCACCGGAACGCAGGGAGTCGGCCTGCTTACATTCCAGTGCATTCCAGTACATTACAGGTCCCGGCGTCCTGTCCTCCCGTGGTGCTCGTGTGGCCGACGTTGCACATGGGGTGTCCTGCACCTTTCCATCTGCAGCGTCTGACACATTCAGCCGGCAGCCGCACGAGCACCACGGGAGCATAGCCGTAGCCAGCTCCTTTTGCGCCTGAGGCAAGGAAAAAAAACTAAGTTTTTTCAATTTATTTTTTACTATTTTTTATTTTATTTTCATTATTTATGTTTATTTATTTTAAATTTTCATAATTTGTTTATTTTTTTTACTCTTGGGGGGGCTTCGGGGAAATATTAGGGGTCTAAAAAGCCCCCTGATATTTCCCTTTTAAAATAGAAAAAGAAATTGAGGACACAAAGTCCTCAATCTCTTTTTCTGCAGTCTCTATTCTAAATGAATGGAAAGCACAGAGGCTTCCCATTCATTAAGAAAATATTTTACTATCAAGCTGTTTCTGAATAGGGAGGAGCCTCTGTACAGAGTGCTTCTCCCCATTGAGAAACTTATGAATGAACAGGAGGTGATATAAATCACCTCCTGTTCATTCATTTATAACGGGGGACACATAGTACTATGTGTCCCCAGTTATTTACAAACACTGGAGTGATCAGCCGATCACTCCAGTGTTTGTCCTACACAGAGGATTGGTACATACTAGTGACATAGTGCCGCTCCTTCACGCACAGGGGGGCTGCAACTTCTCTGGATCCCCCTGCTCTCCCAGGCAGAGGCAGCGGGGGATACAACGAGCCGGGGAAGGCGGGGGGGGCGGAGCCGCTGTGACAGAACGGACGAGCAGTGAGGGGAGAGAGAGGCGCCGGCTGTCAGATCCTGGCCGAGCGTCTCTCTCTCTCTCCTCACTGCTCTGCATTAGTTAGTGACAGCGGCTCCGTCCTCCGCCCTCCCCCGCCGCCGGTTCCTTCACTTCTTCTCGGATCCCCGCTGGGGAGAGCAGCGGGGATCCAGAGAAGCGGCGGGAGGAGAGGACATGGCGATCTACCAGTGGGATCGACTGGTAGATCGCGATCGACCTTATGGGCACCCCTGCTGTATTGGCTTTACTTCGTAGGATTGAATATATTCTGCCACGGTAATGATTTTTTAAATCATGTAAAGATGGCCATACACTATGTTTTTGCAAGAAAAATGACAATGTTGGTAGAAATTGTCATTAACCTTACAACGTTTTGGGTTATGTTTGCATTTTTAGTGCAAGCTTTAGAGATGCACTCTCTAAGCAGAACTAACACACTTTAATTGTACAATTTTTTGTTTTGAAGTTTGTTAACGTTGAACAATAGCCTAACTTCTGAAAATTGCTGGCAGGAAGGCTTTTTTTTCAGAAGATTCTGTGTGTGTCTCTGTTAGTGCTTATTCCCCACCATCCAATGTGTTCAGGGCAAGGTTCCACGCCATGAATGTCCTGGATGGCGTAAACAAAGGTTCTGGGATGGGAGGGGGCATGTCAATGGCATTGCAGACAGGCCTTCCACCCGCAGTGTGATCACCCGCTTCGGAATGCGTGGTACCGCAGTGCCCTGCATTCCACTGTGGTGTGATCGGTAAAAATAGTAAACGCATTGGATAGTGTGAACAAGCCCTCAAACTTCTCATCTGCCTGTCAGCTCCTCTTCTCCTAAATGAACATTTCTCAGTGTAGCTTAGTGCAGTGATGAATTAACTCCCGGTGCGCATGTGCAGTAGTTACATAATCCTGGGCTGCCCAAGATGGCCAAAGATGCCAATCCCTTAAGACTGGGTGAAGAGATCAGTGGTGGCAAGGGAGTTTGCGAACATTGCATCGCTGGAGGGGATGCAATTCCAGTGAATTCCAGTGAACTTTAGTGTCAGAACCTTTGTATATCAAGACTAGTTTGACCTGGTGAGGAATATCGAAAGCTTGTGAACTAAAATGAGCAGTTAATACCAATAAGAAAACATCTGATTATATGGTATCGAATTCTTTAACCACTCCTGTTCTTCCACCTTGTTCTGTACATGGCAGACTTTACTTGAGATCTCTTGAGGTAGTTTTGGGGAGAGCAAAGTTTTTTTGGGGAGAGCAACATTATATATTCACTTCTTCATGGAGCTGGATGAAAATTCATACAGCTTAATGCAGATGTCATTCTCCCGATACAGCGTATCATACATGCATCTACAATCGGCACTGGGTCCTGCAATTCTATATGTCCATGTTTGGTTATCCTTGCAACTTTGTTTTCTCATTCCATGTCTGCTATAGCCCTTCAAGGGCTCCAGACCCCAAACTTGGCTTAACGTTCCTAAGGCAAATCTGATTTATTTTACAAGTGCAGCCCTGGTTATTTAAATCATTAACAGTGCTGGTATATCATATTTACGGTATGAACAAATCTAGTAATTGGTCGTTTTTTTTCCCTCCTAGCATACCTCACGCCAGAGAAGTGGGTCAGATTCTACGTCAGCACCTGTGAACAGGTACATTAAGAAACTTGACCCGTGGCTGTTGTGTTAATAGACTTCTTCACACTCAAGGCTTTTACCGATTTTTCTATTTTGTAGCCTGCTTGAACCTCCTTCTGCCAACATGAGGCCCGCAATATCTGACAGTAGTTTATCAAAGAAAACAGATGCTGTAGTTTCTCAACAGAGCACGAGACTAGAAGGTGAGAAGTTAAATTATTATTTATTTTTAAAATAAACTTTATTAGGTTATATAAAAAATAGACATTACAGACAAAGACCAGCAAAACAAACCAGATAAACAGGAGGATCACCCCTTCTGGACCCAGACAGTGAGAAGTAAAATCTTGTATGGGAAAAATGTAATCTGGAAATTAATATAGCCTTACTGTGTATATATTTTTGCATGTTTAGATGTGTGCGGACAAGTGTTTGTCCAAATTATTTGATATACAGTCTATTATTTTACAGGCTAGTCTTTGCATAGTCTGTTTTTGGAGGACCTGACCTAAAAGGAAAAGGTGTAGTTTGCCAAAAAAAACAGGTGGGGTTTATTTTTCAAACTTGGATTTGAAAAGTTGGGGTGTTCCATGATATAAAAATAAGTTTATTTTGTTCATCATAACAGTATTGTCAGTGCAAATTGTGGTAGGTTATGGGCCTTGTTGGTAGTGCTTTACAAACTGTATTTCTTTGTAGTACCAGGATGATGAATCCACCCAAAAATTTTCCTGAGTGCAATGAGTTTATGCGCTTGGGCATGAACTGCTCAATGCAACCCCACAGGATGCATTAAAAGGAGCAGAGTCCGCAGTTATGATCTGCACTTGAGTTGCAATTGTTATGTACATTTCTTTTCAGCTGAGAGATGAGCCTTTCAAATTTCCCTGAATGACTGGAACAGAATTGCACATATTCTCTTTTTTTAGCTTCCTCCCACAATTCAAAGGAGAGATCAAAGAGCCCCAAAACTGAGAGAAAGCTGCAAACTTCAGACCCTGACAAGCACTCCCATTTTCATAAACAGGTAATTTTGAATAGTCATACATAATGAATTGCATAGTAGATTGTATTATTTGCTTTAAATAACAGTGCATGCATCCATTCAATAGGCCCATTCAACAACTTGAGTTTCTAGTTAGACTTTTTTTCCTTTCTGTAAAGTTCAGTTCCTATACAGTTACTCATGATATGAAATGTATTGGCTAAACTACCCTTGTGTTTAAAACCTTTGTTTGTACCGTGCATTCAGAAAGTAATGAGACCCCCTTCATGTTGCAGCCTGATACTACAGTTGTTTAAAAAACATTTTTCTCTCCTTTAATCTATACTGTACCCCATAATGACAAAGTGAAAACAGAATCTTAGAAATGTCTATGAACTTATTAAAAAGAAAAAACTGAAATATCACATGTACTTAAGTATTCAGAGCCTTTACTCAGTATTTTGCTGAAGCACCTTTGGCAGCAATTACAGCCTCTTTGGGGTATGACGCAACAAGCTTTACACACCTGGATTGGGTGATTTTCTGCCATTCTTCTTTGCAAATCGTCTCAAGCACAGTCAGTTTGGATGGGGATCGTCAGCGAAAAACCATTTTCAGGTCTCTCCAGAGATGTTCAATAGGGTTCAAGTACATATCTTTTGGTCCTGCCCGCTGATCAGGGAGTTCTGGGAAAAGGTGGCTGATATCTGCAAAAGATTGACTGGCATTGGTCTAGGGTCCGACCCGGCTGAATACTTACTGCACCTGGCTCCTATGCCATTACGGCGATACAAGAAGTCTCTGAGTACAGTTACTAAATGCGGCAAAGGTATGCATCCCGCTGTACTGGAAGCGCACTTCGGCCCCCGATCTCACTGTGGCTGTCGAGGATTGGGGATATTTATAGAATGGAGGATCTCTTGGCCTCTGCTAAGCACAGGGTTTTCCAATTTAACCGTACCTGGTACTACTGGATGGAATTCACTGCGACCCGATATTACTTAGCCTTAATGGGAGAGGAATAGTGTAAAGTCCAGTTGAGTCTCGCAACGGCAACTGACCCGGTGGGGGCGGAGATGTATGAACGCACTTACTCAGGATAAACCACTGACTGAGAGTCAACGGCCAGGAATCCAGACTGAGTAAAGGGTTGGTTTGCTGTCTGATTCGGCACAATAAATAGATGTATCTCTTGCAGCTGTCTTTCTACCTTCCGGCTCCTTCCTTCCCCTCCCCCTTCTCTTTCTTCTCTATCCCCTGACCCAGTGCTACAAGGTATGCGGATACAATTGTGTGCTCTTATTAATCCAGGTTGACATTAGCCAGCTTGCATAGAGTTATCTAAGAGTGCTAAAATACGGGATTGTAGAATACACACTCATACACTCAGATCTATACTACCGCTGCCTGTTTCGAGCTATATTTTGATGTATTTTCTATACACGTTTATTTTTCTATTGTATTGACAAAATATATAAATAATTTAAACGGAAAAAAAATAGGGTTCAAATCAGGGCTCTGGCTGGGCCACTCTAGGACATACACAAAGTTGTCCCTAAGCCATTCCTGTGTTGTCTTGGCTGTGTGCTTAGGATCATTGTCATGTTGGAAGGTGAACCTTCGGCCCAGTCTGAGGTCCTGAGCGCTGTGGAACAGGTTTTCATTGAGAATATCTCTGTACCTTGCTTGATGCTGCCACCACTATGCTTCACTGTTGGGATGATGTTGGGCAGGTGATGAACGGTGCCTGGTTTCCTCCAGACATAACATTTAGAATTGAGGCCAAACAGTTGAATCTTGGTATCATCAGACCAGAGAATCTTGTTCCTCACAGTCTGAGTCCTTCAGGTGCTTTTTTGCCAACTTCAAGCAGGCTTTCATGTGTTTTGCACTGAGGAGAGGCTTCCATCTAGCCACTCTGCCATAAAGGCCAGATCGGTGTAGGGTGCAGTGATGATTATCCTTCTGGAACTTTGTCCCATCTCCACACAGGATCTCTGGAGCTCAGTCAGAGTGACCATCGGGTTCTTGGTCACCTCTCTTACTAAGGCCCTTCTCCACCTGATTGCCCAGTTTGGCCGGGCGACCAGCTCTTGGAAGAGTCCTGGTCTTCCATTTGAGAATTATGGAGGTCACTGTGCTCTTGGGAACCTTCTAGTGCAGTAGGCTTCCCCAGATCTGTGCTTGCAATAATCCTATCTCTGAGTTCTGCAGGCGGTTCCTCTTTGCCCTCATGCCTTTGCTCTGATACAGTATGCATTGTCAGCGGTGAGGCCTTCTATAGAGAGGTGTGTGCCTTTCCAAATCATGTCCAATCAATTTAATTTACCACAAGTGGACTTCAATCAAGGTGTAGAAACAACAATCAAGAGAAATGGGAGGCACCTGAGCTAAATTTCAAGTGTTGTTGCAAAGGGTCTGAATACTAAGGGCTTGTTTACACCAAATGCGGACCAGATCTGCATGCGTTTCTGCACATGCGGTGTGTTTTGCCATGTTTTTGATGCGTTCTGGGCCGTTTTTGTAAAACATGCTCTGGAACTGAATGCTGCGGTGTGAACTAGAGCACAAAATAACATTGGCATACATTGGACGCAGTTTTGATCCGTTCTGTGACTGCTCTGCTCCTGGAACGCACTTGGTGTGAACTAGCCCTCACGCCAATGTGATATTTCAGTTTTTTTTTATTTTTAATAAATTCAGACATTTCTAAAATTCTGTTTTTCACGTTGTCATTATGGGGTGCTGAGTGTAGATTAATGAGGGGGAAAAAAAGAATTTAAACAACTGTAGTATCATGCTGCAACATAACAAAATTGAAAAAAAGTGAAGGAGGTCTGAATACTTCCTGAATGCACTGTGTGCATCTACGCTACACTGTGTGGCTGGAGGAACCTCCCACTGGGCCAAGCTTCAGTATCTTGCTAGTCAGCCCCGCTGGCTCTCAAAATACCTGAACAATGCCTGCATCCAATCAAATTGTTCAGGTATGTTGACAGCCAGCGGTGCCGACTAGCAAGATACTGAAGCTTGGCCCATTGGGAGGTTCCTCCAGCCACACAGTTTAGCGTAGATGGAGGAATCTGTTGCACTTTTTCCATCTGACAATAGAAAATCTGCAGATAATCTATAGGTGTATGGCCAGCTTTAGTCTTTTCAGGCATATTTTCATTTATTTGTACCTGCTGATCCTATCATTAACATGCTTCCTGTCCAAGGGTGACAACACTCGCTTAGTGTACTGTATCTGTGGAAGAGCAGCATTGCCACCCTAGGCCGCTGCCCTGATTTGGATTACATACATCTCCTTCTCTCCATTACATAGAGAGGCATTGTTTTGTTTTTCATAGAAGATAGCTGGGAGCAAATAATATTGTTTGAGATATCAGTTCAGTGCACAGGAAGTTACAAATACAATAGATTTTGCCCCGGATCAACAGGTATTTTTCTGTACTTGCAGAAAAAGCCTGAAAAAGAAAACGCAGCCACCATTCCTAAAGACTGGTGCGCTGCAATATATTAGATTTTTTTGTTTAGCTCGCGTTTTTACGAAAATAGAAACTATAATAGTTTTGGGTCTGCTTCATTTTAAATATTTTACTTACGTTTTCAACTTTTTCTGCTAATGTTTATAGAACATATATTTGTTTTATAAATGAAACATTTATTTAAAGATTGCTCCTATAAATGATTTTGCATAGCATTGTGTGTTTTCTTTTAGAGTAGCGCCTTCTTTTGAGACTCTTTTTGATTTTAAAACTGTGTATGGAGCCATAGAGAACAAAAAAAATGGAGGGGCCGAGTCACTCCTCTGACTCTTGCAGCTGTGTGTGTGTGTGTGTGTGTGTGTAAGTTCACCCTTCAACTTTTTTTTGACAGAAAAGATAAAAGCAGAACTTCTAACTAGACAAAAAAATGGGTGTGTCTGTTTTACTGCATGCTTCTGCAGCAGCTGGCTGACCATTCCTCTTATCTCTTGCACTGAAATGTGTATAGAACCCCCTATGTCACAACTACAATGCATGACATAGGTTAAAAAAGACAGATATCCATTTTTTTAAGCAATAACCTAGCTTGTTACCAGTTAGCCTGGTAATAGTAAATATTATTATGCATTATTTAGTGTGTGTGCTCTGAACTTGGTAATAATCAGGCTTATTCTGAGCCTAATGAAGGGGACCCTGCGCGGTCCTGAAAGTGCTTGCATTTGGATGGCATGTTGTCATTAAATGGACTAATTTCACTTAACCATTGGAGTGCTGGTGACATCCTTGAATTCAATGTATACTTCACGGAGCCATCTGTGGTCACTACAAGCACCCACCTGGACTCCACAGCTTAAACTACAAACTGTGCATGGCAACCATTTAGCTTCTCTCTTTCATTTTCAGATCTTAACTGAACAGAGAAGCTGTTTGGTTGCCATGGTCAACTGCTCCAGATTTTGTCTGCTCCAGTTTGGATAAATTCCCCTCTGTGTCTTTACAAATGTTTTATTTGTTTGTGCTATGTTTGAATTGCTCTTCATGTGTACGTGTGTTGTAATGTCCTCAGTTCTATCCTATTGTCAAGTTTGATTGTGCATGGTGTCTTTACAAATGTTTATTGATTTTCTTACTACTGTATTTCAGACTCCAGGCCAACCTCCCCGAAATCAAAGAGGTACAGTGACTGTCAGTTTTGCTGGTCATATACCATATTTTTCTACAGTCTGTCATTTTATTGGACTAGTCTAAATTCTTATGATCTGCAACATCTTGTTAAATAAAGACAAATTGAAACCAAGAGACAGCAGATACCCTTTGATTGTTGATCCTCTTGTTACCTGATGATCAGCTACTTGAGATGGCAAATGGTGGCATGAAAGGACTTTGGTGATGTTCTATCCTTAGAAACCTAGGGCTTTCAAAAAGATGAGCTACAATAAAGCTTGAGGCAGGTTTAGCCTCCTTTAAAGAGCTTCTAAATGAGAGGTTATTTGGCATAAGGCCACCAAGTAAGAGTGTTTCCCCTTTCTCTGTGAGAAAACACCTATTTTTAGGTTTAGCTAATGACACAGGAAGCATGGAAGCCATAGGGTCAAGATCATTTTCTGAAAGATGTCAACCAATGTACCATATACACTATATTGCCAAAACTATTGGGGCGCCTGCCTTTACACGCATATGAACTTTAATGGCATCCCAGTATTAGTCCATAGGGTTCAATATTGAGTTGGCCCAACCTTTGCCGCTATAACAGCTTCAACTCTTCTGGGAAGGCTGTCCACAAGGTTTAGGATTGTGTCTATGGGAATGTTTGACCATTCTTCCAGAAGCGCATTTGTAAGGTCCGGTACTGATGTTGGACGAGAAGGCCTGGTTCCCAGTCTCTGCTCTAATTCATCCCAAAGGTGTTCTATCGGGTTGAGGTCAGGACTCTGTGCAGGCCAGTCAGGTTCCTCCACCCCAAACTTCCTCATCCATGTCTTTATGGACCTTGCTTTGTGCACTGGTGCGCAGTCATGTTGGAACAGGAAAGGGCCATCCCCAAACTGTTCCCACAAAGTTGGGAGAATGAAATTGTCCAAAATGTCTTGGTATGCTGATGCCTTAAGAGTTCCCTTCACTGGAACTAAGGGACCAAGCCCAACCCCTGATAAACAACCCCACACCAAAGTCCTCCCTCCACCAAACTTTACACTTGCCACAATGCAGTCAGGCAAGTACCGTTCTTCTGGCAACTGCCAAACCCAGACACATGCATCGGATTACCAGACAGAAGCGTGATTTGTCACGCCAGAGAACACGTCTCCACTTCTCTAGAGTCCAGTGGCGGTGTGCTTTACACCACTGCATCCCATGCTTTGCATTGCACTTGGTGATGTAAGGGTTGGATGCAGCTGCTCGGCCATTGAAACCCATTTCATGAAGCTCTCTACGCACTGTTGTTGTGCCAATCTGAAGTCCACACGAAGTTTGGAGGTCTATAGCTATTGACTCTGCAGACAGTTGGTGACTTCTGCGCACTGTGCGCTTCAGCATGTGCTGACCCCGCTCTGTCATTTTATATGGCCTACCACTTCATGGCTGAGTTGCTGTTGTTCCCAGTTGCTTCCACTTTGTTATAATACCACTAACAGTTGACCATGGAATATTTAATAGCAAGGAAATTTCACGGAACACCTGAATCCAATAATTTGGAGGGGTGTCCCAATACTTTTGGCAATATAGTGTATAAAGCTGCCCATACACTGCTCGATTCTCGTACGAGATTCGCGGGAAATCCCGCGATCGTACGAGAATCGAGCAGTGTGAACGAAGACGTGCGACCGTTTCTACTGTACGGTCGCACGTCTTTTGTCGAACCTGCATGCTCGAAAACCCGCAGAGAATCGTACGATTGTCAGCGGGTTTCTAGCCTGCTCGTTCGATAGCTGTGGAACGGGCCGGTGTGCGCACGCGCACACTGCCCGTTCTGCATTGCGGGCTTTCGATGATCGCAAGTACGATCTGCCCGTCCAAGGTGGGCAGATCGTACGAGCTTTCAATAAGCATACGACCATCGCAAGACAAAAGTCTTGCGATGGTCGTAAGGTGTATAGGCACCTTAAGTCATAAGATTTTTCATTTAAACATCACCACTACATTATCTGTAAGTCTGTACTTTTCTTTTCCCACTGCAGTTCCTAATGGAAGGTGTAGTGGTTTATGGAAAAAATTACTTCATGAATAATGGATTCATAAACATGTAACATAAATGAGAATAGTTTTTTGTTATTTAGGTCCTACATCCTGCACCTATTCTGACACACTTTTTTTTTTTTCTTCCCGTTTTAAAAATAAGAGAAATCCCTGTGTAAAGGATCGCATGCATAACTTTTTAAACTGTAGTTTTTTTTCCTCCTAACACTTCATCTCTTTGCTGTAGTAACTAAGCTAAGCCGCAGGCGAGTGTCTTGTCGGGACTTAGGAAATCCAGATTGTGATGGCTGGCTGTGGAAGAGGAAAGAAAATGTCAGTTTCATGTCCCAGAAATGGAAACACTGCTACTGTGTTCTAAAGAAAGATAAATTGTATTGGTACAACGGACCTCAGGTAGGCGTGTCCCAGAGTCTTGTTTTTTAAAGGTCAGCAATGGCATCCTACATATTTTCTCTTATGACAGGTTTTCTTTAACCTATCCCTAACTCTTAAAACTTATCATTTTATACCTTCTGTGTTTTTATATTCTCCAGAATTGTTTTTTTTTCTACTGTATATTTATTTCTTAATAGCCGATTTCTCCTTTTTGTCTTTCTTTCCCACAATAAACACAATCTAGGATGAGAAAGCTGAGGGAATGTTAAATCTTTCTGCATATTATTTAGAGCGCCCATTGGATTCAAAGTACAAAAAGAAATAGTAAGTGAACGCAGCTGCTGAACTAGATGTGATCAGGTGAGCAAGGTAACTGTCACTGTATATACTCATCTTTTCTTCTTGTGTCTTTTCAGTGAATTTCAGCTTACTCAACAGACGTTCAAGCCATTTGTGTTTGCTGCAGATAATCTGACAGATATGAACAAGTGAGTGGATCAGACTGTTTTTCTCACCTGCTACTTCTGACTCTGCTTATGTTAATGAAAGAGCATGCACATATTGTAGTGTTTTTGCATTTAGTGGAGTTAGACTAGAAGCAAAGCTTTGCTGTGTGTGTGTGTGTGTATATATGTATATATGTGTATAAAAGTTAAATAAAAATTAAACATGCAAACACATAAAAAACAATAAAGTTAAATAAACTAACATTAAAAATAGAAATATTTTTTTTGGTGTGTTCTTTTAAATAAAAGGTTGGTTATTTTATTGGCTTAGAGTTTTACAATTCACATTATTTTAAATCTAAAACTAATTAAAATGTCTAATACATTTTTTTTTTTTTTTAAATATATAAAAGGTGGGAAAAGTTTCGGCCTGACAAATTTTGCTGCAGGAGGTGCGTTGCAGTGCCATTCATTTCAATGGATCCCAAATGCACCTCCGCAGTGTGATTGCCCGCACTGGAACGCGCTGTACTGCAATGCCCTGCGTTCGAGTGCAGCGCGATTTCAAAACGTGTATACCATTTAATTCTGAAGTAAACTTTGTCTGTAATGCTGCATTTCTGTATTTTTATTTTAAGGGTATTTTTTTTTTTAATCCGATTTATTCAAATAATCTAACTTAATAATCGGCTAACTAATCGATTATGAAAATAATCGTTGGCTGCACCCCTATAATTTTCTTCAGTTTATTAATTAATACAATTATTATAGCACGGTATGAGAGGAAGAGTACCGCTTTATATTATAGTTACTTTCTTATATTTTTTTTATAGGTGGGTGAACTGTCTGGTTAAAACACTGCAGAAATATAAAACGCAAGCAAACTCCAGTCATTCACGAGAAGAAGGTATGTAGGGCAACAATGGTGAAATGATGGGCATTCCTAGGTGGAGGAAGTGGAAGAAGGAGATTTATTTAATGTTTTGAGGCCCCATGCTGTCTTGTTATCCATTTATACTTGTGTGATATAAAAGCTCATCTGTGCCC